TAGTATTGTTGGGTCAGAGGGTGTGTGTGTTTATAATGTTGATAATTATCACCAAGTTGCCATCCACTGAGTTATACCAGCTTGTATTTCCACAAGCGCTACATTTGCAGACACATCCATTATAGTTTTGTCCCCTCTGGTGAGAGAGTTGTGTGCAGGGTGGTATCCATGTCCCCCTCACTCTTAACCTTTTCAAGGTCATGTGCACCAAGGTGCCTTGCAGACCAGTTACCTCTCTGGGTGAGCCCTTTCCCTCTTGCAGACTCACCCAGCTGATCAGGGATTCTCCCTGCCTCCCCAAGCCTGTTTATTAGCAGATATTTTTCGAGGGCTTGCTATGTGCCAGGCACTGTGCCAGGTGCTGGGGGCTGCAGAGGCCCTGCCCTCATGGGACTTGCCCTTTAGTTGGGGGACAGGCAGGAGATGATACATCCAGGGCCATTAACAGGAATAAGCTCTGAGGCAGATGGGTGTGATCAGTTACACAACAGCTGGTCAGGGAGGAGTGTCTGATGAGGGGGTGTCTGTGCCCTGAGTAGGTAATGGAGTGAGGTCTGTGGACACAGAGTGGCCGAGAATTCCCAGTGACAAGAGTGCAGAGGCCCAGGAGTGGAAATGTCAGTGCCTGTCACACCGCTCCCTCCCTGGAGTGCCCCTTGCCTTCCACCTGCTCATCACTTGAGCAGTTCAAGGCCCACTTCTGCTCACTCATCCCAAAATGATTATGGCATGTTAGCTACAAGCCTGGTTCTAAGCCCAGTTCTGACTGAGATCCTGAGAGGAACAAGGTCTGGTCCTTGAGAGCATCTCTGGCCCATGGAGCACCCACATTCCAGCCCCTGCTCTCCTGCAGCCCTAATGGCCCATACTCACTTGGCATCTAGCAAAGGCTGGATCTCCAGCTCCCTGGAGTGAAAGCTGTGGCTCCTGCTGGGTGGGCCCTCAGCTGGGCGATGGATGCATGTGACCAGAGAAGGGAAGGACAAGGAAGTGACGAATCTGGGTTTCGAGCCAGCAGTATGAGCATCCCCTAGGCCATGCGTGATTTCACCTCTCCTTCCTGACTGTGTCACGCCCAGGCCGAAGCGCTGGCACCTGCTTTCAGTCCAGGGAGGAGGACGCTCACCCTCCAAGTGCCTTCCTCTTGCACCCTCATCTCGCCCTCCAGCCTGCTCTGCCTTCTGGAAAAGCAAGAGAACAATGCAGAAGTCAGATCAACCAACGTCAGTGAATCCCCACTGTGGTCAGGTGCTTGCTAGATGTTAAAGGGCAGCAGAGAGGAACACAGCGCCACCCCTACCTTCAAGAAGCCGACAGTTCTCGCTGGAAAGAGTCTTCTGGCTTGTGTGGAGTGCCACCGAGTGGGCGCTAAAGCTGGGGAGTGCCTAGGGGGTGAGAAGCAGGGCAGGCGCCGTGGGGAACGTTTCAGGGAGCAGCTGGGAAGTGACCTGGCCCTGAAGGACTGAGGATGGAGAGCTGGGATGGAGACCCCAGGGACAGAAAAGCCACTTGGATCCCAAACACCAACTGCAGAGTTTGGGCCTTTATCCTGGATTAGGGGAAGTCTCGGAAACCCATTGCTTTGTAGCCAGGGAGGGCCTGCGGGAGACTTTACTATTCCTGCCTTCGTTATCATTATTGTTATTCTCACCTTCCCCATCCACTCCAGAGACAATTGTGTGCAAGCCTAAGTCCTCCCATGGTGTGCCTCTCTGCTGCCACATCTGGCCCGGTCTCCCGGCGTCCCCCCTTCCCTCCCACAGCAGACAGAACAGTCCACTTAAAACACAAGGCGGGCCCTGTCCCTCTTCTGCTCAAAGCTCTCGTGTTGCTCAGAGTAAAACCTGGAGTCTTGCCCTGGCCTGCGAGGCCTGACGGCCCTGGGCCTGCTGTCTCCCTGACCTCGTTTCCTGAGACTCCGGCCTCCTCCACAGGCCGAGCCACACCCTCCCTAGAGCTCTCCCCAGGCCTGGCTCATCGACCACCCTAGCCACTAAACCAGTGCCCCTGACACCCATACCCAAAGCCACTTCTTTATTAGATTTATTATTAATGTTATTTTTGATTGACAAGTTATAATCGTGTACATTTATGGGGTACAATGTGGTCTTTTGATATATGTACACAATGTGGAATGATTATGTCAAGCAAACAGATCCATCACCTCACTTACCAACCTCACTTTTCATCACAGTGCTGACCACCATCTGACATAAGTATTTATTGGTTTACTGTCCGCACCTCCAGCCCTTGGAGCAGGACTAGGTCTGTGTGGTCTCTGCAGTGAACAGTGCTGGGCCAGAGGCAGGTGCTCAACAAATATTTGTGAAGTGAACAAGCCACCAATTTTTATTTATTTACTTTTTGGGGGTGTAAATCTGTGCTGCTCTTAAAATGCCATATCAGCATCTCTTACAGTGTGGTCAAGGAGCTTTGACACCAGACTGGGGAGGCTGTGTTGACATCAGATAGGCTGAGTCTATTGTCTGATTGGTCTATACTGACTTCAAGGTTATGAAAATTGTGGGAAGGTTGTTCTTAGGTTTTACATATTATGTAAGATTTTTCATTCTTTCCACATTCCGCTTAATATTTATTGAGTACCTACTATACAAGTTCGAAGATTTCTATAGATGAAATGTCCCAAAATGTTTCTCCATAAAAACAGCAAATCACCTCTGTGTGAATTGAGTTAGATGTTGGCTCTATGAGATGTTGTTGGGCTCCCTTGAGTTGTGGGTTAAGAGTTAACTGTGGGCTGACCTGGGCCCCTGTGACTCAGTGATGCTGCCGCACAAGCCCTGGGACTTGGCAGCTGTTGGATTTGCCTCATGACAGAGCTGCCTCTAGGACCTGCACTTCCTGAGCAGGATGGTGGCATGGGGTAGGAAGATCACTCTGGCCAGCTGTGTACAGATGGGTCACAGGGGAAGGGAGTGGGCTGGGGGAGATGCGGCAGGAAGCCGGGGGCAGCTGTTGGATTTGCCTCATGACAGAGCTGCCTCTAGGACCTGCACTTCCTGAGCAGGATGGTGGCATGGGGTAGGAAGATCACTCTGGCCAGCTGTGTACAGATGGGTCACAGGGGAAGGGAGTGGGCTGGGGGAGATGCGGCAGGAAGCCGGGCAGTCCCCGACAGGTGAAGCAGCAGGCTTCACCTTCAGGTGAGGCCAGAGGTCCTGGAGCCGGGGGACTAAGACGTTTTGGAGACATTTCAGAGGAAAACAAGCAGAATCTGTTACCTCCTTGGTTATGGGTAATGAGGGCAAAGGAAAACGACAGTGGTTCTGAGCTGGAGGTAACTGGGAGTGCTTTGAGACAAAGACCGTAAAGAAGAAAGAGAAGCCCCATGGGTGTGGGAAGGTCCATACTGGCTAGTCAGGTGTGGGGTCATCTGAGAACCATGATGGTCAACAGGGCAGGAAAGGATGGAATTGAGAAGAGCAGAATGCTGAGGATAGATATTTGGGGAGCAAAATACTAGGGGAACATCAGCATTAGGAACTGGGAGGAGGAACGTTAGCCAGCAAAGGTGACAGTGGAAGTAGGGGGCCTGCAAGGTTTGGGGGGAACAGGATGCAAGAGCTTCTTGGAGGCCAGAGTTTCACCTACTTGGTGGCCAGCACATCATTGCTGCTGGGGGCTTAAGAGAGAGTGAATCAGAAAATGGGAAGTACCAAGTGTCCGTGAGGACATGGAGCAATCGGAACCCTCAGGCATCACTGGCGAGAATGTGAAATGGTGTAGCCACTGTGGAGAACAGTCTTGCAGTTACTCAAAAAGTGGAATTTAGAGTTACCGTATGACCCAGTATTTCCATTCCTAGGTATCTACCCGAGGGAAGTGAAAGCAGGCATCCTGTAAAAACTTGTACACACATGTTTATAGCAACGTTGTTTGTAAGAGACATGAAGTAGAAACAACCCAAATGTCCATCAGCTGGTGAATGGATAAGCAAAATGTGGTATGTCCATACAATGGAGTACTATTCAGTCATGAAAAGCAATGAAGTACTAGTATATGCTCCTGCCTGAATGAACCCTGCAAACATTGTGTTAAGTGAAAGAAGCCAACCACAAAAGTCCACATATTGTGCTCTCATTTATATGAAATGTCCAGCACAGGCAATCCATAGAGACAGGAAGTAGATTAGGGGCTGGAGTGAGAAGAGAGTGGGGCATGACCACAAATGGTTCTGGGGTTTCTTGGGGATGATGAAAATGTTCTGAAATTAAATAATGGTGATGGTTGCACAACTCTGTGAAGATCCTAGAAACCAGTGAATTATGTATTTAAAATGATGAATTTTATGTTTTGTGAATTACATCTCAATTTAAAGAGAGAGACAGATTGAAAATGAGCCATGCAGGTGTAGGGAAGCCTGGACTGGTGCATGGGACATGGCCAGACCAGGCATTAGGAAGCTTGGTCATGGCCTTGGTTAGGAAGCAGTTCTGGACTCTGGGTAAGTCCACGCAGCTGTGGTTTTCAAAGTTTACAGTACTGGGCCAGTGGAGAAGAGTGTTTTGGTTACTGGACATCCTCTGATGGCCAGAACCCAGGGGTGCCCTAGTCAATGGCTGAGCCTCCTCTCACGTGGGGGAGTCACCAATCAGATGTCTTTCAGCTAATTTCATTTCCCTGAGGGTTTTCGCTGACCAGTTGTTAACAGTGGATGATCCCAGCACGCTAACCGCAGCTTTTAAACCCGTTGCAGCCTGCTCTGCGATCTCCTCTAACCAATGTGTTGTGAGCTGGCCAGGGGCTCAATACAGCAGGATTGCAATGTCCTCCAGCTGCTCAGAGCCCAGCAGAGAAATCGCTGCTTCCTGGTGCAGTTTTCTTTCTGCTCTCTGACTTCTGAAGGCTGTTGCTCTGGCCCACCCTTGGAGATGTTTGCTGCAAGCTGTATCAGGGCTGGGTCTAGAGTAAGGAGGCTGCAGGAGGCTGGCAGCAGGCTTGCTGCTCTAAGTGGTATTCTCTGCCCCTCCTTCCCACAGCTCTTGCAATCTCAGGATGTGAAGGAAGACGCAGTACTGTGCTGTTCTATGGAGGTAAGTAGTGGGGCTCAGACATCCCCAACCCTCACCCAGTGTGTCCCGCATGCCTTGACAGTTGTGGGGGTACAGGGGTTGTTGGAAGCAACCATGAGTCCAGGGGAAAGATTTGTCTAGCTAGGCTGGTGGGGGATGGCTTCGTGAGTGGACGTGGACTTCTGTGCCCAGAATTGTCCACCCCCAACGAGGGTAAGTGCTGATGGTGAGGGCAGCCCACCACTGACTGGAATGAGAGAGAACAGGTTCTCTAGGAAGATAGATAGAGGGCTGGCCCACTTGTCTCTGCTCACAAGACCACCTGTTCCTTGGATCAGGCGTACTATGCAAATGGCTTAAGAAATTCCAGGTGGCGCCCGGCCCCCAAACATCTCCCTTTGCTTTGGTGGCCTGGGGTTTGGGGAAGATGCCTTATGCTCGAATCCCACATGCTGGCACTGCCCATTCCAAAGCAGCCCCCGTTCCCAAGCTGTGGCCACTGCTCACTGAAACCTACTCTGGAATCTTCCTTGAGAGGCCTGGCTCTGGTGTCATCACTGGGGCAGATCTTTGCCCTCTACAAACAGCCCAGGGTCATCCAGAGTGAAGTGCAGGGAGGAGAGGGGCTTTCAGCACGTGGACCCAGGCCTCTCAGGGCTCTCATGAGCACACCTCTCAGGTGGCCTCTGCCTCCAGATACCAAGGTCATGCCCAAGGAGCTCGGAGGCCAGAAATACTGGGAGCCCAGACAGCAGCCTTAGGTCAGTGGGATGGTCACTCATTTCATTCATTGGGCTCCAGATGGTCATCTACATGTGGCTTAGGACTGGTGGAGATGGGGAGAAGTAGAATGCATGGTCCCTGCCTTCACGCTGCTTCTCGTCTGGTCAGGGATAGATCACACACACACACACACACACACACACACACACACACACACACACACACACAGTTGGGCAGTGTATGGAATAAGTGTGGGTCCAGAGCACGCATCCCTGAGAAGTCAGGGGAGAAGCATCAGGGATGGCCGGGGAGGGCATGGCAGGTTGAGGAAGGCTTTGTGAAGAGGGTAGAACCCTGCAAAATGGGTGGGGCAGAGATGGGGATTGAGATTATATGAAGAGAGTGGGGGGGGGGTTGCTGTCTGGGAGTGTACTGATCCGGAAAGGTTGGGGCTCCTTCTCCCCACAGTCTTTTTGGGATTATTGGGGGCTCTCTTGAGGGCAGGCCCCAGCTGGACTTCTGCCCCAGTTCATATTTCTCTCCTCCCCTCATGTCACAAGTGTGGGCAGAGGTCAGTTCTAGGGCCTGGGAGGTAGAATTGGGCAGGAAAGAAGAGAAGAGAGCGAGAAATAGGAGACCTCATCCCTGTTCTCAGGTTCCACAGGGGCACAGGCAGGTAATAATGACTAAGCTCATTTCCACAGGGACACCCTAGCAAGTGAAAATTAACACAGTGCCACCTGATCACCAACAGGAGCAGATCACAGAGCCATGTAAGGGTGTGGGTATAGTCAGGGAAGGCTTCCTGTAAGAGGGGAGGCTCTTAGATGAAAGGAGCAAGAGGCACATTCCAGGTGAGGGCTCTTCCAGGCCTGGGCAGCAGGCGATGTTCTGATCCCTCTCATTCCCACTGACAGGTTGGCTGTTAAATGCGGGATCTCATAGTTGGCTCTTCCTACCCCCCAGCTTCCCTGTCCTCCTTTTCCTCCAGGCAGGAAGCCTGGGCTGGCAAGTCCCTGAGACAAGCCAGCTATTTCCTGTCCCTGAACCTATCCCACCTAACCAAAGTGGTCAGGGGGCCCTTGTGGGGCCCATGGCCTGTCCTAATGCTCGCTTGTCTGTCCGCAGCTGCAGAGTACAGGCCGGCTGCTGGAGGAACAGCTGCCCGAGATGATGACAGAGCTCCTGGCCAGCGCCCGGGACAAGATGCTGTGTCCCTCGGAGTCCATGCTCACCCGGTCACTGCTCCTGGAGGTCATCGAGCTCCATGCCAACAGCTGGAACCCTCTGACGCCCCCCATCACGCAGTACTACAACAGAACCATCCAGAAACTAACAGCCTGACAGCCAGGGGGCCTGGCGGGCGGCCCATGGGCAGCTGGGGCCCTGGTGTGCAGGGCCAGATGGACAGGCGGGAGGACAAGGGTGGCCCTGGTGGGAGAAAGAAATGGGGAGGAGGAAGGCAGGCCAAGTCGGTGGCCGGTCCAGAGCCAGACGGGGAAGGGATCAAATCCCTAAGAGAAACCGTCTCCCCGCCAAGGAGCCCCCAGCCCGAGCATGTGTCAGCTCACACCAGTAAGGGAAGCATGTTTCTCATGGTGGCCCTGCCCCCCCCCCACTCCACCCCCTCCCATCAAGCCCACCCCAGCAGAGCTTCATGCAAGGGGATCTCATCTCTGTGACTCCTTAGTAGCCTCGCACACCGGGGTACCACTTGGGGCAGAAAGGACCTTGCAAGGCTGCAAAAGTGGGTCGACACGGGGCTCTCATTGTTCCCTCATGCTGTCAGCCACAGTGGCCAACTGGCAGCAGGCGACGTGTAGCAGATGTCCGGGAGGACAAAGGCAGGCACGGTCCCCACCAGCCGCCCATAATTGACGGCCTTTGTCAGCCACCGCGGAGCTGGGGGGCGGCAATTCTCTAACCTTCACGCTCCACCCTCCAGGCTTCGGTTCCTCCCCCCTCCAGCCCCCAGCCTCAGCCTCGGGGGTGGCGAGCGGGGGGCAATGGGCTTTGCAGGTCTGCTTGCACTCTTTTGTTTTATTGTGTTTTATTTTTCAAAAGTTGGTTGCTTTGAAGTCTCTTCTCTCAATGAAAATGCCCTCTATGTGATCACACAGTCAGCACCGCAAGGACCCCCTGATTAGTGGGAGATCAAACCCGGCCCCCTCTGGAAGGATTCTAGCCACAGACAGCTTGCCAGTAGCCAATTAGGGTAATTGGAAACTTCTGCCCCGGCAGGGGTCCCCACTGGAATCCTGTGTTCCTGGCCACCGGCCTCCAGCGCCTCTGCTCTCTTGCTGTCTCTCAAAGGGGTGATACTGTCGCCACTGGTCCTGGCCCCAGGGTCTTATGGCGAACAGGGCCCGGAAGGAGGCTAGCAAATTAAAATCAAAATGTTAGGTGGTGTTTCCTGGCTCCACATGCAGATCTCAGTGGGAGAAGAGCCGGAGGCTGCCTGGCCCCTTGGGACTTGGAGGTTTAGCTAATAGGCTGTGTCGCTGCCCCAGCCTCATCCCAGGCAGACTGTTGGGAAAGGGTTGAATTCATTGAGTCATGAGCCGGACAGTCAGGTGACCAGGCAGGGCCACCAGATGGAGCTTTCTAGGCTGGATACGAAGCGCGGGTATCTTGGGAGGTCCCAGTCCTGGGGAGCAGCCCTTTTGTGCTGGCCAGAGAGAAGGACGTGGGTCAAGCTCTGGGAGACTGGCTCCATCTCTGGGGTCTGGAGCCCACACTGATGAGCCCCCAGAAAATGATATCACAGCCCTGCCGCTTCCTTATTTACTCCTTTATTGAGGTCCCACCCTAGGTCAGATCGGAGGCTCCTCCTAGCCTCCTGGTCCAAATCAGACCGGCCAGGAGACAGGTGGGGTGCGGAGAAGGTTCCCGAGCTCTCCCTAGCTTTCCCACTGGCTGCAACCTGCCTCCAAGCCCCAGCATGGTAACTTACACCAGTTCCCAAAAAGAGTTATTGCGGACAAGGTGTGAGAGCACAGGTTTACCTGAAACAGGGCAGTGGCTCTGCCAAGAAACCCCACTGCCCCTGCTCCCGCCCTCACGCACCTACCCTTCCCGAGCTTCCTCAAGCCTCTCCTTCCTGCCTGTCCTCCCACCGGCACCTGGGACCCAGCCTGGGGCCTGGGAATACCAGAAGCCCCACAGGAGGCCTTGAGGGAAGAGCTGGGCTGATGTTAGGGGGCTCAGAGAGGCCACCGGGGAAATCCCACAGCCCAGCCAGATGAGCACAGCCCTCAGAGAGCCGCCCTGTGCTTACACAGGCCCTGCTTCCCTAAGTGCACGTGGGGGGCGTGTGTGCGTGTGCATGTGTGTGTGTGCACACGTGTGTGTGTGCGTGTGCACGCGTGCATGTGCGTGTGCATGTGTGTGTGTGCACACGTGTGTGTGTGCGTGTGCACGCGTGCATGTGCGTGTGCATGTGTGTGTGCACGCGTGTGTGTGCATGTGTGCGTCTTACTCGCATATCTACTAAGAACAAAGCAGGGCACAGGAAGAGAGAGGCCTGGAAGTGGGGGCTCCGGTCACAGTGGAAGCAGGGGAGTGGGGTCTCCTAGACCCTACCGTGGGCTCAGGAGCAAGCCTCATGAAGGGGGCCCCCCAACGCTGTGTGTGCAGGGGGCTGATGCTCCCTGTGGAAGCAAAGACAGGAGCACTGTGGGCGTGTGGGGACTGACACACCTTCCTCCTAATGGCCCTCCTCGGTGGTCATGCCTCAGGGCCAACCCCTCCTCAGCCGTTAGGGCCAGAGTGTGAAGAAGTGGGATATAAATATGTATACATATATAAATATATTTTTAATTACGTGTCATGTCACAGTGGCTCCAGACATACAGTTTGCCTAGTTTATTCCATTGCTTGAAAGAGCTTTCTGGCCAATCTGAATAACACTTTCAGCTGTTTTTCTAAATGCAGGTTGCTGGTACCTTTTCAGACATGGAAGGAAAACGTTCCAAAGAAATTTTTTTTAAAGAAACAACAGTAAAGCCTAAATTTTGAGACTGTGAGGCAGCTTCCATGGGAAACTACTCAGACAGGAACTGGGGGGCAGAAGTGGGCACCCCACAGAATGTGTTTGACGGGAGGCAAAGCTGGGTACTGCATTTCTAAGGGCTGGGTTGTTTCCCCGCTGGCCCGCAGTTCTTGGCGCGGCGAGAGGCACAGGCCAGCTATCTGATGCCGATCCTGTCTCCATCTTTCCCCCTGCCCATCAGGATGAGTCAGTCATTGTTTTCCTCTAAGGCAGCCTGCTTCCCACGGTCCTGCTCCCCATGGCCTGCAGACTTCGCCCAAGCTCTGGGACCACAGCCTCCATAAAGCTCCCAACCTCCCCTGGACAAGGCCAGGGCCCCCACCCCATACTCATGGGGAGTGTTCCCCCCAAACCCAGCTTCGCCTGTTCGTCCTTCCTTAACCAGTCTGTAAACCGTTATGGTTTGGGGATTGTCCTGTCCATCCACGTAAATGTAAATGTTGGTCGAGTCGGTATTTATTCTAATTTTTATTTTATTTTCTCTGAGGGATGGGGGGGGGTATGGGAACTGTACCACTGATCACGCTCTGGGCAGCTGCAGGGGTGGGGGCCCAGACAGCCAGGTGGAGTAGCCCCAGGGGGCCACCCCAGACGCTGGCCTCCGGGAAGCCAATCCCAGTCTGTTACCCGGCATCAGAATCGGGCCAGTGTTCCTTGTCTGGTGGACTCCCGTGGCCTGCCCATGGTGTTGTGTCACTCAGCTGCCGGGCAGTCTGTTAGGAAACCTCTGGCTGGGCCTTTGAGGACATGGGTCAGAGAGAAGACAACTTTCGTCCGCCCGGGACACTTGCACGGAAGGGCTGGCCACCTCACCTGAGCCAGCTGCAAGCCGGACCACAGGACCTACCTCCCTGGAGCAGGGGCCTGGGGCTTCCCGCCAAAGCTGCAGAGAATCCTGCTCATGTGACTGCCTTCCCTCCATCGGTATGTCCTGCTTTCCAGCTGAACCCAAACTACAAGTGGGTTTAAAAAATAAACAATACCAAAAACGAAAATGCCCCGAGTCTGTTCTTTGTGTGTTCAGCCAAGGAAATGTTTCCCAAAGGTGTTGTGCCTCAGCTGGTGCCGGCAGGGACCTCAGAGGAGCCCCTGCCCAGGCGATGAGCTAACAAGAAGAGTCCCCACAGTTGGCCACTGTACAGAGCACGGGCAGGGTCTGGGGCCTCTCTGTGAAGGAGTTGGTCCAGGAGAACATGGGTGAAGACGCATGCCCCCGAAAGCAGGAACTGTGGCCTATCTGAGGTGGTATAATTAGGTCAGTTTTGCACTGAAGGTTTGGTTTACTGCATGTTTAACCACCCCCCAAACCTACCCTTTCCCCAGAAATGTCACTGTGGCATTTGGCAAAGACTCATTTTAAGAAGATTGAGACTTGGACCTCACAGCTTCCCAAAGTCAGCAGCAAGTGGCTGTCTAGTCCCAGCTGATCAAATGAGTCTTTCATCAAAGGGTCCCCAAAGGGCCTGGTGATTTATTTTCCTGTGATAACATGTCCCTCGTTTTGCACAATCCCTCCCAAGACAAGGCATTGGGGACACTGCCTCCTGGTAACACTCGCCCCTTGGGGATTCTTTCTGGTTAGAACTTGCTAGTCTTTCGGCTCCCCAGGGTGGCGACCAGCACACGCAGTCCTTCATACCTCCCTGGCCTGGCCAAGATGGTGTCCAGGGCAGCCCAGGAGCCTGGTGAAGGCATGTTGAGATTTGGTCACTGCCCGCTACCAAGTCTCACCCCCACCGTGACACTGCACGGGAGCAGCCAAAAGTAGTACACAGATTGGGTAGAGGGAGATAGTGTGTTAATTTAACAATTGAGATATTAATCAAGTCAAATTTTGCACAAAAATGCAAGAGTAGGGGCAGAAACTGGGGGTCAGAATGAAAGGTGTTTAAAGGTAGAGGATGGGGGGTAAGGGGACGTCGTATCAAACACTTCACCAAAGGGAGAGGAGATTTTACTAGGTGATTTAGTCCTGCTTCCAGAAGGTTCTAAATTACTGAATACTGTGAAACACATTACCCAAATAATAAATGTTTTAATCCTGCATTTCATGATCCTCTCTGCTGATACACGTTTTCTGCCGTTTTGAGAGTGGGTTACAGTAGTACAGGGTTGGGGCCGGCCCGGTGGCGCACTGCTACAGTGTGCTGCCTGGGAGCGTGGCGGCGCTCCCGCCGAGGGTTCGGATCCCACATTCAGACCGGCCGCTCACTGGCTGAGCAAGGAGTGGGAGCAACACCGAGGGATGCGATCCGTTGCCCGTCCCGGTCTGGTATGGGCGCGACACTGAGGGTTGTGATCCGTTGCCGGTCACGAAAAAAGACAAAAAGGAAAAAAAAAAAAACAATAGTACAGGGTCAATGCAAGGGAGAAAGGGGAAGACTATTTATTGTGGATGAACAAACTAGCACACACTTACATACTCTCCACAGTGGCTTATAAGGGCCTTTTAGGTACCGAGGCAAAGACCTCAGAGAGGGAAGGGATGGAGCAGTTGGAAGGGAAAGTAGTGCACAAGCCTTTGTAGCAATTTTCTCTCTTATTCCCACAATTCCCCAATAGCTAAAGAGCCCTGAATACACTGTCTACTTGGTCCAATGAAGTAGGCAGGATGAGTGGTTTTGATTCCCATTTTACAGATGAGCCAAAGGCTGCTTAGTGGCAGAGCCAGGGCCGGGATGAAGCCAAGCGCCCTTTCCACTAGCCCAGAAAGCGAGTGGACCCTTCCACCCCCTCTGCCCTCTGCCCACTGCAGGCACCGCCCTGGGGAGCCGGCCAGTCACAGCAGCCAGACAAAAGGAGCCGCCAGCTGCCTGCTGAGACTCGGCGGTGGGCAGGCTACGTGGTCTTCCCTCTGTGGAAACTAGGACCGTAATGAAATACTTCATATCAAGCAATTGGGGGGGGGGGTCAGGAGAAAGAGCAACGTTGCAAAGTTTGGTTCTGTTATATAAAAGAATCGATCATAATAGGTATAATGTGTCCTGTTACATTCAATTTCCTCCAGATCAGTGGTTCTCAGGTGGGTGGGAGGTGAGGGAGACCCTCGCAGGCAGGGTGTATCAAGGGGCAGAGGCAATATCCAAATTGCCAAGGAACTTTGTTAAACCACATATGGAAACTGGACACACATACACACCAAAATTTTCAGAATTCTGACCAAAGGGAGCCCCTCTTCTTACTGGTGGGCATGTGCCATACCTTCAGTGGGGTGCAGGAGAAGAAAAGTCGAGAGCCACGATCCACCACCCCATGAACATAGCTTAATGTGACCATGAAGAACTGTTCCAAGTAACGCAGAATTCATGTCCAGGACCAGCGGGCCACATTGTTGCGTTCCTCAGTTTGCAGTGTTGGGGTCTGCCATGCCGGCTGGAATGAGACTGGCCAGCACATTTGCCATGGGAGGAAAGGGCTCCAGGAAATCTCTGGAGTGTGGGACAGAATATATTCCACAGACTCAGGGCTGCGTTACGACATTCACGGGCCCTAGACACTTGCCTCCATAGGCCCCTCCTCCACAAAAAAACAAAAATTGTATTTTATGACTACGTTGGCATAAAGACAAGTTTATTGATACTACTTACTAAAACGTTTTCTTCAACCTAGAAGTTCATTTTTTAATTCTGATTTTAAAACAAATTAAAACATTTTGTGAGCCCCTAAAAGCATCATGTGCCTGTCTTAGTCCATTCGGGCTGCTATAACAAAGTACTATCAACCGGGTGGCTTTTATTTCTCGTGGTCTGGAGGCTAAAAGTCTGAGATCAGGGTGCCTGCGTGGTTGGGTTCTGGCGGGAGCCCTCTCCTGGGCTGCAGACTGCCAATTTGTATCTTCATGTGGCAGAAAGAGGGTGAGAGTGTTCTCTGAGGTCTCTTTTGTTTATAAGAGAGCTAACCTCATTCTGGAGGACTCCATCCTGATCACCCCCCCCCCCAAAGATCCCACCTCCTAATACCATGATATTGGAGGTTAGGATTTCAACATATGAATTTTGGGCGGACACAGCATTCAGTCCATAGCAGCGTCCTAGGGTGGGTATACATTGGCCCCATGTGGGTGTCTTTCCTGAGCAAAATGTCGCACCTTTCCCAGCTGCCCCCCTAACCTCAGGGTGACTTGGGGGGGCAGTCAAAATGGCAGCTCACATTGCCATCTAGCAAGGAAGCAGCTGGCCCACTCTGGAAGCAGAGGCAGTGGTGGCTTCTGCCCCAGACTGACTGCCGGCCAGACAGCCCAGAGTGTGAGCAGAGTGGCTATTTGTCCTGCTGAGGAGACTC